CGAGCGACATCACTTTCATGCCAATTCATTAACTTTTTTGAAGGTGGGAGGGTCCCTTTAATGAATTGGCATGAAAGTGATGTCGCTCGGTTCAGAAAGAGCGAAAGCCGAAAACGAATATCTTCCAAATTTCATCGAAAAATATTCACCGGTTTTCAAGACAGTGATTAGACTTTTACTTTTCTTTACTTTTTGGGATCTCCGCTGTTCCTAGCGACTTTATATGAAAGTGCGGCACTTGTTGCGCACAAAGCAGCATATGCCACCGCGTGCTACCAAACGTTTTAGTAAACATTTAAAATCGTTATCTCTGCGCTGACGTCACACATTCAGAGGGGGCATTCTAATGCACTAGCCCCTCTGAATCCAAGTGCTGCAACTTTGAAATTTGATATTTCCGATTTGAGGCATTTTTCGATCTTGTGAGTGCTCAAACCGGTATTTTCAGGCCAGGGACCCCATTTTGGCTATCTCAACTCAAAACTAATGTAAGACAGCCAAGAGGAGCACAACGTCGTAACGGCAAAGTGACTGTGGATCCATCGAGCCTGACAGAGCAAGGGCCTGCAAAATTTGGGTCACCGAAGCAATTGACATCCTTGTCCATTCCCTAGGTCAATTGGTCGGTGACTTTTAAATTAAAACAGGCTCTTTCTCGGTCAGGCTTGATGGATCCACCGCCACTTTGCGCGGTACTTTTAACACGCGCACTGCAGGGGGGGTGTTTTCAACCCCCCCCCTGTGGTTTTTCGCAAATCGCGAGGAAAACGGCGTCGCGTAGCGCCGCCAAATTTTGCATACCTGTTTTCCCAACTTTTGCACACCTTGAGTAAAAATTTTGACCCCAGGTGACCTATGGTCAGGTCACCAGGTCAGGTCAAGTGACCCTACCTCGAAACGTAAATTTCGAAGTTTGCAATCCCACCAAGCCCACAGTTGCTGAGATATGATCTTGAAACCCACAGGAAATAGTAAAGTCATCACGAGCTACAACTTTTATATCTCGGAATTTTTATATCGATGACCTAAGGTCAGGTCATTTTTGCGACCGGCCCATTATAAGTCAATGGGAGAAATTTCAACTTACTCTGAATGCCATCCTATGACTTCAATACGCTCAGGATCATAGTCAGAGGTCGATAAAATGCTTGGAGTTGCTCCAACGAACATCTTAGTCCCATCACTGTCTCCAACTTAGCCCTCGCCTGGCGGGGGGGGGGGCAGCCTCCCTAAGTTTTTTTCGCGAATAGCGTAAAAGTTGGCGTCGCGTAGCGCCGCAAAATTTGGTACAACGTCTGGGAATGAGCCTTTTGCTACCTATCCTGAAAATTCACTGCCATCCGCCGCGTCAACACACCGATATCTCCTCACCTTCTCCCCATACGGCCTTGATTCCCCAACCCAACTCACACCATCACACTACTGCATACGGTGACCGGTCGCACGGTGGATCTGAATGCCTACGTTTTCGCGCCAAAATCTGAAACAACTAACGATTATCATCAGCTTAGAGATGTTGAAATTTAGCATTTTAAAGCTTTTAATTTAAAAGTTTATATGTGTGCTTTAACGCACTTGTCCTTATTGATTGAGAAAAGAGCGGACTTTTTATCGTATTACCTAATACGAAGTAACGCAATCGAAGTGTGATTTCGGTCCACTGTGCGTTTTCAGGCGCGCTCGATAAAACACCCAGGCCTGGAGAAAGTTGGAAGGGTGATTTTCTGATCCTCCTCACCACAAAATGACCCTAAGCGAAAAAATGCCCGAAGGGCGCTGCCAACGCGTGCCAGCGGCCCTGCTAGTAAGGGCGAAAATCAATGTATGTGTATGCGGAGCACACCCTTAGCGCTACGATGGCTCCTTGGAGACACCTGGAGAAACCTCTGCCGGCAGAAGGGTCAGGTCCCTCGCAGACGGCGCGGCACGGCGGGAGCTCAGCGGGTGGCCTAGCCGGAAAGAGGATAAAAATAGCCGACTGGCCCGACCCAGCGAGGGGTGACCGAAGGGTGACCAGGAGTGAATGAGGGAACATACACGCGGTATGTACCGAGCAGCCGATAACAGCACCGGACGATTAGTAAGTCATAAGTCAATGCTGTACTTTAGGCGTAAGGAAGCATCCATGTAGACGGGCGGACTGTCTCCAGGTCTTCCAAGTATTGCTATTATCTTGCTCCAACGAGCGTTGGCACGTTTGAAGTTTTATCGACCACTGATCATAGTATTACAGGTCCCTGTTGGTGATTTATCGTGTTTTTCTCGTCAATGCGGATCGAATGATATGCAACATGACCTATTTCGGTCAGGTCATGACCTTGACCTGAGGTCAAATTTTCAACTTGACCTTTCGAGGTCATATTATATATCATTCGATGCGCCTTGACGAGCTAAGAACGATGGCGTTCGAATCGATCCTCTGTCTTGTGTGCAAGACAAGTTATTCAAGAAAAACTACCGCGAAATTCCTGTTGTGAAAATCGTAACATTTTGTCTTCGGTGACCTCTGGTGACCTCGTTTTTGACCTGATACAAAAATGACCTAGTATTTCCTCTAACCCGCGCCCGGCTGGGGGTCCTGGATTTCCACGCCCTGCTGGGGGGGGGTGTTTGAACACCCCCCCTTCTAACTCGGCTCCTGGGCCACGTAGCGATACGCGGAAAGCGGCGTTCGAAAGAGCGTCAAAAATAAAGAGGAAATCACTTCGGTCAATTTTTTGGTCAGGTCAAAGGTCAGGTCACCAGAGGTCATTGAAGGCAAAATTTCGCCGATTTCCAGGTCGAATGTCGACAATTTCCAAGAAGCCAACGCATAACTCGGGAACCAATAGAGCTACAGCGCCGCGGAAAAGCGCATTCGATAGCCCTATTAACGCCCTTTCTGAGTAATTTTCTCAGATTTGACCTAACGTCAACGGTTTTGCCTGCAGGGGGCAAAAACTGCAAAAATAGCCGATTTTTTCGGAAACAGTTTTTCTGCAATAACTTTTGACCCAAGCCTTGTACGAGCTTACTTTTACCGGCATCGTGTTCCTCTCGTCAAGACGCATCGAATGAACTATAATTTGACCTTGAAAGGTCAACTTGAAAATTTGACCTCAGGTCAAGGTCATGACCTGACCGGAAAGGGTCATGTTGCATATCAGTCGATCCGTATCGTCGAGCTGAACACATCTAAGGCGTTTTCATCGCTCTAGCATGCCTCTATCAAAAGTTATTTGCGAAAAACTGTTAGATACCATTCGTGACCTAAGATGACCTCATGGCATAAACAGGGGTCACGGACACCATTTTCATGTTCAGTGTGTCTAAACCACCTGTAATTCAGTGTTAGGGAGTGTTTATAATGTCTTTCGTCCAAAAGAGGCGCATTTCAATTTTCTCCCATTGACTTATAATGGGGAGGTCGCAAAATTGACCTGACCTTAGGTCATCGATATCAAAATTCTGAGATATACATTTTGTACATGCTATTGCTCTTACCAATCGCTGAAAGTTTCAAAGCGATCGGTCACTCGGTGTAGCTATGACAGACATTGAAACTTTTTATGAGGTGAGGTCACTTCAAGTGACCTGGTGACCTGACCTTGAATGACCTTGGTCTGAAATTTTCACAACATGTGTAGAATTGATGTATGATAAGGTGTACCAAAAACGGCGGCGCTCCGCGCCGCCGTTTTTTAGATATTCGCGAAAAACCACAAGGGGGGTGTTCAAACACCCCCCCCCCCAGCAGGGCGCGGGCTAAATAACATCTCCACCTATCTAACGCCGTTAACCGTTTGTCGCTACGTTGCGCCGTTTTCGAGATCTCTGGGGGGGTTGTTTTCAACCCCCCCCCCCCTGCAGTTCGTGTTCGGCTCAGACCCGCTGCAGTGCGCGTGTTAAGACAGACTGTACATGGGTCATTATGAAAGCTACCCAGGACAACGACAATCGAACAATATGAAATTGCTCTGGATACTGATATCGGCCTTCCTTTCTGCCTTGATGTGTCCACAACTGATCCACCAGATCGTCTACAATTTGTCCAGTGCTCTAGGTGGACTGTATACCTACTATACATATTACATATGCTATATATATATATATATATATATATATATATATATATATATATATATATATATATATATATATATATCACCCTCAGAAATATATATATATATATATATATATATATATATATATATATATATATATATATATATATATATATATATATATATATATATATATATATATATATATATATATATATATATATATATATATATATATATATATATATATATATATATATATATATATGTTACGGGCAAAGTGCGAAGTTGGGCAATTCGCGAATTGCCTAGGCCATTCGCGAACTGCCGGCAATTCGCGAATGGCCTAGGCAAAGTCCGGTTTTTCACTTGGCCTAGGCAATTCGCGAATGGACTGACTTTGTGCTCACAGGCAAAGTGCGTAATTGGGCATTTCGCGAATTGCCCAGGCAAAGTGAGTAACTATATCACAAAAGTTTTCTACCGTGCTAAAATGAGTATATTCATTAACATTAGGACATTTGCTTATGGCTAAGTCTATCTGAGGCGGCCAGAAACTTGCTGTTCTGTAATTTTAGGGAATTTTCAAATAAATCTGATAGTACTAAGGTTCTCCTTCCGAACTCGTTGCCATTTATAGTGGGAGGGGGCTGGTGTGTAGTACTTACCATCGTCCCTCTTGTATCCTAATTTAAATAGGTGTGCAGACGTGCGAAAATGATTGTCCTTTGTGGGGCGCGCGGGGTGGCAAATAAATGCGATCGAAGATACATTTTTATGACTCATTTGAATTTTATTGGATCAAAAGTTTAATCATATGAGGTATCTGTATAACGCGAAAGTGTTTAGGTTAAGAGAGGTTGTGTACGCAGTTATCAAGTTCCGTAGCACGTGGTCTTTAAACTATTCGATAATTTCCGTCAAAAACAAAACCATGCCAAATCACAAACAACAGTCTGACTTTCTTACTATTTATTATTGCAGTGAGCGCCTTTATGGCAGCGACTGATACAAGTAACGCCCGCCTTGATGCACTTGCATCGGCCTTTACATACACCCCTCCTGCACTTGCAGGAAAACATCCCCTGACCCTTCCCCCCTGAGACCAGGCGAGCACATTCTCTAAGTGTGATCGAGATGTCGGGGACGTCGGAGGAGGAGATGAAGTGCCCGGCACACGGTTGTACTGCTTCTGGGCCGTAGACGCCGGACAGCTTCCCCTTCGTCGTGCCAATTATATACTGTGACTCGCCGACACACTGCGAACACGGTCATCTATGTCAACGAGCGATACAAAGTTTTTACAGCATCAGCAATTAATTTACTGCAGATAATATTGATATGATTTATAATTATTGCGACCAGTGCCAGACACCTACAGTTTCGATCTGTGTTAAAAACGTTTTGTTGTTGACATCAAATCTAATTGAACCGACAATGTCCTTTCAGCGCCTTATACACTTGAAATCATGATGAAAATAACTAAGCAACTATTTTTACAGATATTAAATCGTTTTCAACATTGAGAACAATATTCATATTGATTGAAAATCATATTATATACTTAATTCACAGTAAAAAGTTATCGAAATAAAAAATTGAAAATATAGCAATAGAAAGCGTGGCGAGAAAGAGCAACCAATAGTACAAGCAGCTGCAAAAAGAAAATTACTCCAGACTCACCTCCAATATCACTCCGATAACATTTTTCTGTTGCGTCCTCGCCCTGTCCACGTCGGGAATGCCAATGCGTACATTTTGACCCACAGATAGAATCTTCTTCGTCTTCCTCGTCCGAGCCAGCATGAGATTCGCCTGTTTTTTTCTGAGATGCCGAGGCGATCTCCCGCTCTTCAAGTGCCCTCTTAGCACGAGAACACAGATCGCAAAAGCCGTCAGATGCAGGTGCCGGCCCATAACAGTGAGTGCAGCGCCTGCTTCTTAGTGTTCGCTTAACAGGCTGTGCAGCTACCGGTGACTGCTGCATGCCCTTGTTGCTGCCGGCTACCGCCACTGTGGGACCGCTCCTCCCTGGAGTGCAGCTAGCTGGCTCCTCGTCGCTGCTGCTGCTGCCGGCTACCGCCACTGTGGGACCGCTCCTCCCTGGAGTGCAGCTAGCTGGCTCCTCGTCGCTGCTGCTGCTGCCGGCTACCGCCACTGTGGGACCGCTCCTCCCTGGAGTGCAGCTAGCTGGCTCCTCGTCGCTGCTGCTGCTGCCGGCTACCGCCACTGTGGGACCGCTCCTCCCTGGAGTGCAGCTAGCTGGCTCCTCGTCGCTGCTGCTGCTGCCGGCTACCGCCACTGTGGGACCGCTCCTCCCTGGAGTGCAGCTAGCTGGCTCCTCGTCGCTGCTGCTGCTGCCGGCTACCGCCACTGTGGGACCGCTCCTCCCTGGAGTGCAGCTAGCTGGCTCCTCGTCGCTGCTGCTGCTGCCGGCTACCGCCACTGTGGGACCGCTCCTCCCTGGAGTGCAGCTAGCTGGCTCCTCGTCGCTGCTGCTGCTGCTGCTGCTGCTGCTGCATACTACAGCACGACCGCTCCTTCTCCTCCCTGCATGGGCGCGGCCAGCCGGCTGCCAGTCGCTGCTGCTGCTGCTGCCCGATTGACTGTCCAGTCCTGCATCTGTGGCCGTCTGGCGACTTCCATCAGCCACCAGTCCCAGCATATCCGCCAGCTCCTGCTCAGTCCTCAACAGTCTGGCGGGCGCTCCTCTGAGCTGCGTGTCCCTCAGGCCCATGTGGGGCTCAACACCGAACATCGCTTTGTAGGGAGCAGTTCCAATCCCGTCGTTCTTCTGAAACAGTCAGAACATATTCAAGATATTAACAACAGAATGTTCACACAAAAATACGAGACTGTGCAGTTAAGCGTAACCAGCTAATACTTTACACTTCTCCCGCTTTGACTTAAATTACAGCTAATGATTGGAAATATTTTTTTTCTTCAAAACATATGTTTTAAACGAATGAGGAAAATTTCAAATGATATTTTTTGTAACTAATACAGATGAAGGCTATATACCTGCGTGTTTATCATCCACTGAACAAAGCGTAGTCCCTCGGGCCAATTACTTTCCGGGTTATCGGCAAGCCAGCACCGAAGCTTTTCCTGAACCAGCCGATTCGCCCTTTCGACAGATCCCTGGAAACATTAAATGTGTCAATTTACCACATGCCGAGATATCCCTTTAACATTAGCACGTGATTTTGGGAAAAGCTTCCGGACCGCTCACGGCTAATGTTTAAGGTATTTGGGAAAAGGTTCTTGACCACGGTCATTTTGATTTTCCCAGACAATTTTTAAGAGAATATTCAAGATGAAAGTAGCAATTAACGGCATGTAGTAACTATCTTCCCACCCTTTGGGCTGGGAAAATGCTTAATTTATTCACCTCGAATTTTTTGCTACAGACCTCGTGCCTGCCGGCACTCGGTACTTCCGCAAAAAAACCTTGGTAAATAAAATGCATTTTCCCAGCCCCGGGCGGAAATAAATATTACTATATCCGTACATGAGAAAGTCAAGCATGCACATGGCGGCGAATATTACATGGTACAGTTTGCATTGACCTCTTTTAACTCTCGATTTATTTATTCATGTTCTTTCCACTTCTATTTATTTGCGCAGGCATTGATATTGAATAGTCACTTTTTGAGCAATCAAATAAGGGCGCTTGATAGCCTATTTGCGCTTTAGCGTCCGTCCATAAACCCCAGCACAAACATGCACACGATCAATTCAATATGAATATCTATTTTAAAGACTTCAAAAATCCATGTAGGAACAACAAGCTAATTCTATACCAAATCTAAATTCGTATATTGGTGAATAGCCAATCTGGCTTATACCTATCAATCGCTCACCTGGGACTGCGAATGGCGAGGTCGTCCACGAACGAGCTGGAGCGATGGCCACATGGCTGTGCACTGCTTTATTACTTTGTTGCGAAACTCGCGTCCGTTGTCGCTCTGAAACACATTTAGGTTTTCTGTTTTAAACGAATTTTTAACGCAATCTTAGCCTTTATCTGAACTACTTTCATGTTTTTATTGCGATGTTTCACACAGTGGTTGTGCAGTTACCTTCATGAATCACGAGCGAATCATTGTAAAAGTGACTTAGAACAGTTCAAATTACCCTAATCTTGACCTTAGGTGAAAAGGTCATCAAAGGTAATCCTAGGTCAGTGACCTCAGATGACCTCGGATGACCACGGATGACCTTGACACATGGCGGGTCAACTATAGTGTATTCATAGGCGCTGAGCTCGAATCTGACATCCATTCACCTCTAAGCAATCATCCTGACGCTCAAACTCGCAAAAAAAAACAGCTAATTGAAGCGACTAAATTGACCTAGAAGATGCTCCTAACAAGCGTGACCTTGCGTGACCTTGACCTTGAGTCAACTGTATGCGATGTCTAGACATCCATAAACACCAATAAACTCTCATAGAATGCATACTCATGCGCTGGGAAGCAAGAACGCGCACCATCGTGCGACAGATCGCAAAACCTGCCGATTTCGTCCAAACATGACCTGACATATGACGTCATGACTTGATGACCTGACATGACATCGACTTGAAATTTCCACAGTACGTGTCAGATTGATCAACGCGAGGGTACTGTAAGTTTCGCGGCGATCCGCCGCGTTTTACGCGAGTTATTCGCGAAAAACCATGGGGGGGGGGTCATCCGACCCCCCTACAAGTGCGAGGGTTAATCTGAAACTATGTATGTCTCTGGTTTTCTTCTAATCAAGTCAGTTATATCAACTCCAGCATCTGCTATAATGCGCAAAAGAACGACCAGTGCATGTTCGCTCATATCCAAGTAATTTTCTAAAGACTGAAGCGGCCAACCCCACCCTAATATCTTGGAGAGCCGTACATATTTTACGAATAAGCGCATGCTGGCTGCTGCTGCTGATGAGATGGAATATATTAAAACAACCGGTAATACATGATAGTATAGTACAGATGCAGACCATAGACAAAATGTAGGGTCTTAATGATGAAATTCCCTTAACATTCAATGAGGGTGAGATAAACTGTTTTTGCACTTAAAAACAGAGAAAAAATAAAAACAGAGAACGTTCATGATTGCTTTCACCTATATATCGGTAAAAAAATACAATATGACAAAGCTACTTTACCTGCAAGATGTTTGGAGCCCCAAACAGGCAGAATATGTCGATGAGATGAAATACCACCTCTTCCGCCCTTTTTGATTTTAAGGGCCGCAAAACGACAAACTTGGTTAGGTGGTCTTGATATGTTAAAATGTATCTGAATCCCTTTGAGCTTTCACTCGTCCAGTCTATTAGATCAACCTGGGCTCTGGAGTTCATGTCGTTGCTGAGAATAGGCTTAGTCACTACCTTCTGGCCAGGCCTAGGCTTTTTCTGCTCGCACGTTTGGCAAGTTGAGAGGAATGCCCAGACGACTTTTCTGCTGACGCTTGCATAGTGCTTTTGAACTTCCATAAGCGTCTTGTCTCTTCCGCAATGCCCAGTCAAAGAATGGAGTTCTTAATCACATCAAACAAA